ATTCCTCGACCCGTGAGAGTTAGCACTTCCGGATGCGCTTACCAAACAGGGAGACCGAGTGGAAGCCCTGCTCCGTGAGCGCACTAGCTCACTTCAGGAGGATGTGAACAAGATCCTGGGCACGGTCAACACGGCTTTTCGCGAAGAAGCTGGACTCCACCGAAAGCACTCCGCGGCCTTGGACAGTGTTCAGCACGCCCTGGCCGAGCTTACGGCGGCCATTGGAAGGCCCCCCCCAGACTCGGAAGGGGCAACTCAGAGCCTTGAAGTGTGCCGCAACATCGAGGGGATCCTCACGGAGGCGTACCAGGTGATCCAGGAGATCCGCGACCGCACACCAGAACGACCGCCGCTGAGGACGCCCCCCAGTGCTCAGCACCAAGACCCGACGCCGGTGCAGCAACACACCATGCCGAATGTCATCGACCTGAGCAGGCGCATCCCTCCGCCGGTACAGGGAGGGATACCGAACTTGGCTACGGTGACTCTGGCAAGTGGACGAACAGTGCTGGCACCGCACCTGCAGTTTCAGCGTAGGGGCAACTGAAGAGTTCCTAGGTTTGGGGCTGTGCAGTGATATCAGCACTTCTATCTACTCTAGCTATCTGCTACTGTTTCTATCTAGGTCTTTGGGCCAAACTACTGCCAGCCCCAAACCATAAGGAAACAGTAGTATGCATGTTTTTGTGGCCATTGTTTTTGCATGCTTGTAACAATATCGGCACACTTGCATGCTGTTTTTCTTCATTGCATGTATGACACAACGGAATTTGCTGCATGTGCATGTCTCCCCGCCACCACGGAATTTGATGTCTGCAACTTTTGTGAAGACTGCTGCTGCAAGCTGCCACTGCTGCCACAGCCACGTTTGCATGTCCTGCACCACGCCTTGCATGTTCTGCACCACGATTTTATATTGCATGTCACGAATACCATGGAATTTATTCCGCTTGCATTTGCATGCCTGTGAACGACGTCAGTGCGAGTTTTCATTGCATGATGCACGTCGTGTACTGTTTGGTGGCATGCTGTACATTCAAGATCCTTTAGCCAACTGCTCGTACATACAGTTCGTGCAGTCGGCACACAGATGTAATAATTCATTGGCCACATGCGTACATACGTGAACCTGTCAGCCTGGACCTCGTCACTGCGATGCCCTGCAAAAGAGAATGTGACACCGCGCGACAGTTGGCAGTGTGTGAACCCAGACGTGTATCGGCCTTTTTCTGTACTGGTAATGGACAGATACATTTAAGAGTGCCTGGGGGTGTGCTCGAGAAAGCTGCACGCAGGTCGAGCCCGAGGTCACTTCAGTACATGTCTAGGGGACTGTGAGAGGGAGCTGTGATTGGCTGTCGCCTGGTATGGGCTTCGCCCCCTCGCCTGTGCCTATTCCTCTTGGGCCGCTTGCTCTGCTAATGCTTTGCTGCCTGCGACAGGACTCCTACTTGCCTCGTCTGTCTGAGCCCGGTACTCTGCCACCCTAAGTTGCCCTAACCCTCAGCCCCTGTGCCGAAGCCATGGACAGCCTGCTGACTTGACTGTGAGCTGGTGATGCTGGTTACCCCGCGGGACAGGAGTCCCCTACTGAGGTGGTTGATTGGACAGCTCTGACCTGCAATGGCTGATGGTGACGGAGAAACAGTCAGCTACCCGTGTAGCTGCCTGCTTCTCATGTTACACAACTCCATCGACAGCACCTGTGCCGGAGACTCTGGATGCAGTTTGGGCATAAATAGTCAATTCTGCAAGGATTGCAACGCCCATCAGAGCATCCATGCGGAGTGGGAGTATATTTTGAGCAGCTTGCAGGAGCACACAATGAAACGATGGCGAGACCCGTTGACTGCATGGACACATGAAAAGGAGTGGAATTCACCCATTGACTGCATGGGCACGACAAAAGGAGTGGAATTCGATGCTGGGGATGGACATTTCTGCTGCATGTTTTACTGGAATTCCCTTGAGGATGCATGACGATTGTGGGGGGCATGTGCATGACAGGCGACAGTTCTGCTGGTTTGAATTCATGGCATGGTAAGTATTATGATGAGGCTCTGCATGGGTTGGAATTCCAAAAGCCAGTGCTTCTGTGCTGGCGTGGATGATGCATGTAGCTGGTGCCCGGAACTGGTGACTGGCGAAAGTTTCATTTTTCTCTGCATGGACGAGGCCCTGCATGCCATTATTCCGCTGCACCACGATGACGGTTGAGTAGAATCGACTGTGTGAGATGTTCGAGGGCTTAAATTGGCTCAAAGAAGCCCCTGTTGCAACCAAGAGTAATCGAGTGACCATTTTGAAACAGGGAATGTCGGCTTGTTTGCGTGTTCCTTGAGAGGTGGCAATGACCCTCCCAGGAATGTCAGTCTGTGATGGGTGCCCGCTACAGTAAGGGCAGACTGTTGCAGATGTACCAGTAGCAAGCGCGGACCTTCATCAGCCATGCCAGCCTTGTGCGAGTGTGTGAGTCGGAAACCCCGAAACCCTAAACCCCTAAACCCCTGAACCCGTAAGCCCCTAAACCCCGAACGCGAGACCCCCCACAGGATCCTAGACCTCACATCGGGGGCCCAGCTCCTTCAAATTCGATCCGCCGGAGCCTCCCACGGACGGTTTAGGGCTTGTAGGGTTTAGGGGTTAGTTTTTAGGGTTTAGGGTTTAGGATCCGAAAATAAGGGGTACCTCATTTTGATAATAAGCATCCTACTATTTAGGGTACTATATTAGGGTCAAACCCTAAGCCGAAAGAGGTTTTTAAAGCTTGTTTCGAGGTTTAGGGTTTAGTTTTTTTTTAAAAGTGGTTTCGAAGTTTAGGTTTGGGAGCCAAAGACCACAAAACCCTCAGCAACAAAACCAAAACCCGTAACCCTCAAACCTCCAAAATGCCAAACACACGGTTGCGTGCCCCAGGGTTCTGTGGAGCTCGAGACGCCTTCTGGAACCGTGGCTTGGCTTGGTCTCACCTGGGAGTTTCCGGGTACCTCATTATGGGGTTCTTATAATAAGGATCCTACTATTCAGGGTGCTATAGTAGGGTCCCCTATTTTCGGAAACCCCCGTCTGAAGGATGTAGGGGGGAGGGTTTGGCAAACGGTTTCGTCGGAGTGCGAGCGTCAAAAGAGCTGCTTTTGTCTTCATCCATGCATAAACCGTATTACGCCTTGTAGACAACCAAGACAAACCTCTACAAAGCGGTAGTTTTTGAGGAGGATAAAGCCCCTAAACGCCAAACCCTAAACCCCTAAACCCCTAAACCCCTAAACCCCTAAACCCCTAAACCCTAAACCCCTAAACCCTAAACCCTAAACCCCTAAATCCATCAGATGGAGGAGGTAAAAAGGGCAGGGAACGGGAGCAGAGAAGAAGCGAGAGGGAGCCGGAGTTGGAATGCAGAGAGATTAGGGTTTAGGGGTTAGGGTTTAGGGATTAGGGGGCAGAGTCTGGGTTCAAAACAGGGGTTTAGGGTTTAGGGTTTAGCGGAGGGTTTAGGGGTTTAGGGAGGCTTTGAGGAACATTTCTCAACAGTTAAGGAGTTTGGCAGTCTCAGAGCAGCAGTGGAAGCGGCACTACGACAGCAGCAATCAAGAGTAGTCGAGCTGACCGTTGCAAGGAGACCAGATCAGGGTAATGAAGATGGTGGCGATTATTTTGTTTAGCTCGTGCAGGTGCAAGTGTCACGGTTACGCGAGCTGGCGATGAGGGTGGTGATGCAAGTCTGAAGAGTCTGATTCTAAAGGGGAGGCGCTTACGACAAAGAGTGAAAAGGCGACAAAGTAGCAACAGCCACGCAAGCAGGATTCTCAACGAGTTCAATATTAAGGGCACAACAGTACTCAAAGCGGATGCGTTCTGCACAACAAGACCGCAGTGGCAGCCGCAACGTCACCGACGCAAACACCGACACCTTCAGCAACTGCAGCACCACCACAACCAGCATCACCATCACCCAACGACTGCTGCCCGACGGCCTCAGCCCGAAGCGCCGCTTTCGACCCGCCGAGGCAACGACGGCTGAGCTCGGCCCGGATGGCTTGCCTTCCATAGGCCCCCTGGCGTATGAGCTGAATAACTGGCACGGTGGCGGCCTTGTTTTCGAGATGTAGTAGAGCCAGAAAGTTGGAACATCCTTATCCTGATGCCCCTAGCTTAAGGTAAAGTATAGGGGATCCCAGCACTAATCATCCTAAATCCATGTTCCAACTTTCTGAGATGCACGAAGTAAAGAAATAAATAGTTAGATATGTATGTATATATATATATACTACTACTACTACTACTACTACTACTACTACTACTACTACTACTACTACCAAAAACTACCACTACTACCACTACCACTACCACTACCACTACCACTACCACAACCACAACCACAACCACTACTACCACCAC